AAGAAATAGTGTTTTTCAAAGACAGTCTCACTTTCTTATCCTCAGTAGAGCACTGTGGTGTCACAGCTCACAGCAACCTCAAACCTTGGGCTTAAGCAATTCTCTTGACTTAGCCTCCTAGGCAACTGGGACTACATGCACCTGCCACAAGGCCCAGCTATTTTTAGGGACAGTCTTACTCTTGCTCAGGCGGGTCTCGAACCTGTCAGCTCAGGCCAATCCACCTGCCTCAGCCTCCCAGAATTCTAGGATTGACAGGTGTGAGCCACCTCACCCAGCCCAGGTTTTGATTTTCCATCTAGAGATGTGAGTCCCAGCTACTTGGGAGGCTGAGGCAAGAGAATCGCTTAAACCCAACAGTTTGAGGTTGCTGTGAGCCATGACAGCACAGCACTCTACCCAGGTGACAGCTTGAGACTGTGTCTCAAAAAAAAAAAAAGATTTGGCGTCTGTTACATGCACGGAGTGCTTTCCTTCTCCTTCTCTATTCCACAGCACAAGACTGCTCAGCACCGCCCTAAAGCCAGATAACTAAAATTTTCCAAGCTCTTAATCTTCTCTTCTCTTCTCTTTTCTTTCTTTCTTTTTTTTTTTTTTTTCGGTTTTTGGCTGGGCCTGGGTTTGAACCCACCACCTCTGGCATATGGGGCTGGTGCCTTAATCCTTTGAGCCACAGGTGCTGCCCATCTTTTTTCTTTTTTTTTGAGACAGTCTCACTTTGTTGCCCTGGGTAGTTGCTCATAGCAACCTCAAACTCTTGGGCTCAAGCCATCCTCTTGCCTCAGCCTCCCAAATAGCTGGGACTATAGGTGCCCACCACAGCTACAGGTGTCCAGGCTATTTTTAGAGACTGGGTCTCACTTTGGCTCAGGCTGGTCTCGAACTCCTGAGCTCAGGCAATCCACCTGCCTCGGCCTCCAAGAGTACAGGAGTTATAGGCATGAGCCACTGTATTGGGCCCTTAATTTTTTTTTTCCTTTGGTACAGTTTGATGTTGTCACCCTCAGTAGAGTGCTCAGGCGTCATAGCTCACAGCAACCTAAAACTCTTGGGCTCATGTGATTCTCTTGCTTCAGCCTTCCAGGGCATCTATAGTCCCTCGTGAGTACAGAGGCAAGAGAATTGCTTGAGCCCAAGAGTTTGATGTTGCTGTGAGTTGTGATGTCACAGCGCTCTACTGAGGGTGACAATATGAAACTCTGTTTCAAAAAATAAAGGGAGAGAGGGGAGGATTGGTGCGCTCCCACTTAATGGACACAGTGTGAGGGTATATGGCACACCTCCTGCAACGGTACACATCCATGACAATATTATACCTAACAAATGCAAACATTGTAACCTAGTTCTTTATATCCTCAAATTAACCTAAAAAAAAAAAAAGACAAAAAAAAAACAGGGAAAGACTGAGATACTGTCATAGATCAGTTATTAAGGAGACATAATAATTACATATAATGTGGATTCTGGACTGGCTCCTAGAACAGAAAGGGCATTAGTAGAAAAACCAGTAAGTGGATAAAGTCAAGAGCTTCGTTCATAGCAACGTGCAGGCGGCCCTGGAGTTACAGACGTCTGACTGGCAGCTTACGTTCTGAACAGAGGCTATTAGAGGTCATAGGTAAATGTACTTGTCTCAACAGAGGCTATTAGAGGTCATAGGTAAATGCACTTGTCTCAACAGAGGCTATTAGAGGTCATAGGTAAATGTACTTGTCTCAACAGAGGCTATTAGAGGTCATAGGTAAATGCACTTGTCTCAGCCGGGTACAAATTCAACTTAAGAACAAACCTGCAGGCTCGGCGCCTATAGCTCAACCGGCTAAGGCGCCAGCCACCTACACCTAAGGTGGCAGGTTCGAATCCCCA